CTCGTGTTCCACAGATTGTCTTTTCACTCTGTTGACTGTGTCCTTGATGTGCAGAAATTTCTATTTTTTTCTTTTGTTATCGCATCTGTTACTTCTGATCTCTGTCCTTAATTGCTGTGGCTGAGACCAGAGCATCTGATGTTTATTCACTAGAAAATACGGTTACCAGTAAATTGCATTTCCTCTATAGACTGGTCCTATAAAAAATAAAAGAAGATTTTCTTTTAAAAATTGTTATGTCCAGACTTTATAATTCATTTTAGTAATTCCTTTCATCAATCCATGCATTTACTCAATCATTCAGCAAGTAGGTGGATACAGCAGCTTCTCTAAGCCAGGGACTGTGTCAGGCTCTGTGTGAAAGACGGAGACTGTAAGCAGAGCTTGAGCTGTCTCAGCTGCAGCTCTGCCACCTCTGCCCTGACACTCCCTGGGTACTCTGGGGATCTTGCTTCTGAGCTCATCACTTGAAATGATCCTCCACGATCGCAGTTATCATGTTTCGAATTATTTGCATATTCCCCTTGACCCTGACTGTGAACAGCCTGTTTCATACCTGGCTCATCTTTGTATGTGGCAGTGGAAGATGCTAAACCCATCTGGTGTGCTGTTGAGTGGGTCCTGTGGGAGCTNCGTGTGCTGCAAGACCTCGGGCCTCAGCCTGCGCTCCTCTGCTTTCTGAAATTACAATCTCTCGTTCTGCCCTTGGGGTTTTGCTCCCCCCAGATGGTCTCTAAAGTGATACATAGCTAGTTGTCACTGCCCCCAAGACAGCACATGGGACTACTGTTCATTACTACTGTGGGGGGTCCCCTTCTGGCGATGGTAAGTAGAAAGCTCCAAAAGCTTTGCTTTTATACTTTGTGGGGATGGAGTCTTCCTCTGCCTTTCAGGCCTCCTCTTATCCCCCACCCCCACGATCAGGTCCCCATTTCATAGGGTCCCATGGGCTCTTTCGCTAGTGAGCAGGACAGGTGGGTACAATTGGAGGGGTAGAAATCCTGCAGATAGACAACATTTATTGAGTACTCACTCGGTGCCAGGCCCCATCCTAAGTGCTTTTACCTATTTTAATTCATTTAATTTTCATAATCCCCCTATGGATAGAAACTCTTGTTATCCCAATTTACAGGTGAAGAAACTGATGCTCAGGGGAGTTGTGTTCTTGGGCAAGCCAACAAAAGGCCGAACTGTTTCAGATCCGAGCAGTTTTGGCTATAAGAACTCTTACC